CCCCCCCCCCAAATTCAAGACTTCTAGATACGCCACTGCCTATAATTACCAAATAGTTTCGAAGTACAGTGCAGAATATAGTTCAGGTCTAACTAATGCTATTATTCAACCAATAAATCAGTCAATTCATGACTTGATTGCACAGAGTCTCGAACAGACGCAGAGTGTAAACGGTCGGGTAGAAACGGGACGAGTAACATTGTGCAGGATTAAACCAGCAACGTTCCCTGGCAAAAATGTTAGGAATGGGTTCCATAAACTAATGGCATTTAACCACATTCAACCTACCGCACTAAAGAGGCAAATCGATATATATTTCCAAAAGACTTAAATAAATCAAATTATATTTATCACGAGTACGTTAAACATTTTGTTTAAATCTGGTTACATCCGGTTTTTTTTTATTTTTATTTTTTTTATTTTCTTTTTTTTTTATTAGTTCTTTAACACAGGCAATATTATTTGTAAGTAATCGATTGAGTTATGTAAAACAATTTTTACATTTGGTTAGTGAGCCACATAACTTAATTAATGTTCAAGAACAGCTTATTAGAGATTATTAGAGTGCCAAAACTTAGGCCTACAACGTTTCCAGACTTTTCAAACCATTAAAGATACATTGTTTCCAATCAGTGGGTACTTTGTTACCACGAAAATTCCTTAAAAACAAATGAGAATAAACAGTATGATTATTGATAAAAAAAAAATAAAAAAATAAGCCAGTTAGAACACAAGAGTAAAGCTGCCTACAATTATTTCTTTATACTTTGAATCCTGTTGCCCTGGATTTTGTTCTCAATGATGAAAAATGAACTCCGCTCATTATTCATCATAACGGACTTAGAGTCCCTAAATGAATAAAAACGACGCACACTATATTATATTATCTGCAAAAAAAGTATAACTCCCTGAATAAACTATATATGCTTAAGAATCAAAATGCATTAAAAGTTGAATTGCAAATTCAACTTTTAATGCATTTTGTTATTTTCCAATGACCTACTACTTGTAAGCCTAACTACCACTGGTCTTCAAAGGTTAATCAACTAAGCTAATGCATATATTTCATCTCATGAGTTATGCTTCAACCCCAGTAAAACTACATGTATTATATTTGGCAAGAACACTCTTTACCCTGATCCATCATGGTTTCTAAATGAGTGCAAACTAAATGTCACTGAAATAATGACCTACCTTAGCGTTATTCTCTCAAATAATCTGAAGTCCACAAAACATTGTCAAAGGGTTAGAAAATGTTTGTATATGTCATAATAGTACCTCAACAGATGTTAAAATCCATGTCTAGGAGATTGTCATGCTACTTTAGTGTATGGGTGACAATGCTTAAATGTCAATGACATTACAATGTAAAAATTAGAGACTACTAAAAGCAAGCTTATTAAAGCATCAATTGGTTTAAATAAATATTGTAAAACAACTCCATTACTACATAGTATGAATATATCTAAAAACCGCACCATAGTGTCGACATTTCAACTCAATCTAATTTGTCAGATTTTTCATAATGACTCTAAATGTAGGTAGTTTTATACCCACTTGCTTAACATCGAGGCTAATGATAACAATGCTCTTAATACAACATTAGTTGATCGTATAAAACGAAGTGTTAATAATGATTTTCTTTATAATATTTGTTTAATAATAAGTACCAATTTAAACACGAATTGAAACGGATGGGGTGTCAGAACCATAGGATATGTGATAGTGTTAACAATTTAATGGGGAGAGATATGTTAATTAATAATGAAAATTTGATATCAAGCCTTTGCTCAAAAGTTTTTGAATAAGTATTGTGTATGTTTATGTGTGCATGTTTGTATGTGGGTGTATGCATGTGTGTGTATATTTGTGTATATATATATATATATATATATATATATATATATATACATATATATATGTGTGTGTGTATGTATGTGTATATATATATATATGTATATGTATATATATATATAATATATATATAGTGATTTTATTGAATAATTATTATTGTTGCTATCAATTACTCATTCCTATGCACATGATTTTATGTATTTTAATGTGCTTTAATATTTTGTTTTTTTCTTTTTTATACCCTCCATTTATTGGAGGCGATTTTGAACAAATTGAAATAACTTGAAATATAATTGGCTTATATTTAAGGAGCTTTTGAAGTCTTCTTTGTCCATATTCAACCAAGGCATGGGATCAATATTGTATTAAAACAGAACTCAGCTTCAACCAGACTCGAATCTGGGACTTTCCATACATGTCGAACACCATAACCACTTGGACACGAACACAATCAAGCGCGAGGTAGAATTTTACCTGCTATCTTTTTTTCTTAATCGTGTCTGACGTCACATGTAGATATAGCGCTAATATCGCACGTGCCTAGACGTCCCTTCTATGCATTATTTTCAGCCTTTTTGAACTCGGGACCTTTAGCATATATGGCGAATGCCATAGCAACCGGAATTACTAAGAAGGAATTGTGGTTAAAGTGCAATGTAGAATTTGAATTTTATGGTGCTAATATCGCACGTAACTAGACTACTATTTTCAGCTTCCTGGATCTCGAATAAGATACTTCCAACCGCAACTCGAACACGGGATGATTTGCATCCACGGCGAAC